CAAAATTCATAATGTACTCCAAAAAGGTGAATTTTACTGTATAAATTAAAAAAATAGACTGCTGGGTATTCAAAGGACAGTGCAATATAAATTCAGTATCTGGCATCGTTGGTTTTCTCGGCTTTAAGCATGTTAAACCTGGTAATTTGGCGCACACACACACCCTAAATTTGAGCCCCAGGAGAGTTGCCTCCCTAGCCTCATGTTAGCTTGCAGGGACATTGGCAGTGTCTGGGGACATCTGTGGTTGTCACATCTCAGGGTTCTCCTGGCATCCAGTAGGTGGAGGGCAGGGATACTGCTCAACATCTCCCAATGCCCAGGAAGCACCCCTGTGCCCCTATACACAGAGAATAACTGGACTGCTGATGTAAACAGTGTTGAGGGGGAGACGCTGCCATAGAAAGTCTTTTAAAGGTTCTTCATATGGCCCCTTCTGGTTTAATTTCTATTTTCCCTTGTGGAGGTGGGCAGGGGAGGGTGTCTGCTTGGGGACTGAGCCAGCCTGCCTGGGAAAGGGGGTTTACTTCAAAGGAGCAAAGTGCAGGGAAGGCTCAGCCGAAGGGGAGAGGAGTGGGCAGCCCTGTCCTTCCCTCTTGGGGTCATGCCCGCTCTCCTAGTCAGCTACACAGCCTCTGGACCAGTTGCTTGGGGTATGATTCCCTGAGAAGCATATAAGGAGAAAGTAGGGGGCACACAGGCTGTATATTTGACCGTGGTTCCTAAGATCAAAATTATGATCCAACACCACACATCCATCGGCATGATTACTATCAAAAACAAAACAAATGCCAGAAAATAAGTGCTGGCAAGGATCTGGAGAAACTGGAACCCGCGTGCACTGTTCATGGGAATATGAAATGGGACAGCTGCTGTGGAAAATAGGATGGCAGTTCCTCAAAGAATTAAACGTAGAATTACCATCTGACTCAGCAATTTCACTTCTGGAATTCCATTTCTGTGTATACCCCAAGAACTGAAAGCAGGACAGGGGATAATCCTCAGGACCCATGACACGGGTGGGAGTGTTGTTAATACTTTTCCTTTATATGTGTCCAAATGGCTTCACTGATTACAATTAATGTGTTGTCTCTATAATTGTATTTCTTTTTTTAAAATATATTTTTTATTGATTTCAGAGAAGGAAGGAGGAGGGAGAGAGAGAGAGAAACATCAATGATGAGAGAGAATCATTCATCTGCTGCCTCCTGCACACCCCCCACTGGGGACCGAGCCTGAAGAAACCTGGGCATGTGCCTGGACCTCATGGTGAATGGATTGATGCTCAATCACTGAGCCACACCATCTGGGTTGTAATTATATTTCTTTTTAAAAAATATATTTTATTGATTTTTTTACAGAGAGGAAGGGAGAGAGATAGAGAGTTAGAAACATCAATGAGAGAGAAACATCAATTCAGCTGCCTCCCGCACACCCCCTATTGCGGATGTGCCCGCAACCAAAGTACATGCCCTTGACCGGAATTGAACCGGGGACCCTTCTGTCTGCAGGTGGACGCTCTATCCACTGAGCCAAACTGGTTAGGGCTATATTTCTTATATTAAGAAATAAACTCATGCTCTGGCCAGGTGGCTCAGTTGGTTGGACCCTCAACCCATACACCAAAAAGGTTGCAGGTTCAATTCCCATTCCTGGCACATACCTAGATTTCAGCTCCCTCCCCAGATGCAATCAATTGATGTTTCTCCCTCTCTATCTCTAAAAAAAATCAATAAGAACATATCCTCTGGTGAAGATTAAAAAATTAATTTAAAAAATAAAGTCACACCCACGGGAAAACACATCTAGCAGATTAGGACTAGTGAAGGCCAGGGTCCTGGAGCCCTGGGTTTGGGTCTGAACTCTGCAGATAGAAACCTAAGGCTTCAAACCAGCTTTGGAATCTAGTCACCCCCCATTCCCATTCAGGGTGCCCACCTGGCCACTTTGCCTGCTCACCTGTCTGTGCAGCTCCCCCTTGGAGAACCCAGGAGGGGAAGGGATATAAGGAATCTTCAGAAGTTGCACTCACCTGAAGACTTGAAACAAATGACACCTGCCTGGTGTGGGCTTGGGTTTCCCCGCCTGGGACCTGCCTCCAACCTGAGCACGGATCGCGCGGCCCAGGGTTGGGAAGACACCTGCTGGGGAGAAGCAGGTACTCGGGCTGCCCCTCTTGCACTCCCTGGGTGGTCTGGGGCCTTCTCACTCACCCTCCCGCTCACCCCAGGACTCCGGGACGGCAGGCAGGAGGTCCAGCCGGCCCCTGGCGCCCGCCACCGCCGTCCACTCCTGCAGTCTCAACGCCTGCCCGGGCCGGCCAGGCTCTGCTCCGGGGAACAATGAAGCCACGAGAGGGACTGCCGGGGCAGCGCCACCTGGACCCTCTGGCTGGGGTGGGAGGAGGTTATGGGCGGGGGACAGGAGGGCGAGACCCCCGACCCACAGACGGTGGCTGGACTAAGGTGGAGGCGGGAGGAGGCGGCGCACTGCTGGATTCGGAGACGTCAGAAAAGAGCTGGTGGGACCCGGGGCATGCAGCGGGGTGGCCCACGGCCGAGGCCCGGGATGTGGACCCCGGTGAAGAGGCTGGACGCCGTGAGACCGGGAGTCAATGGCGTAGAGGCCCGCCGCCGGGCTGGCATCCGGGACCCCGGCGGGGCTGACCATTCATTCACTCATTTTCAAATGTTTATTTAGTGCTTACTGTCTACCAGATCAGTAAAAACAATTGTTGAGCAAAAGCAGATATAGTCTCTGAATGTGATGG